CAAAACCAGACCCCACTAAAGCCCAGGAAATTAGCTGAACTAATGAGTTCACACTGAAATGTGTATCATTATCTTTTACCACTTCTCACATTTACATCATTCACTGACCGATTAGGAGGAGTTTAAATATCTTACCAATCAGTAAAGCCATCCCAATGTAAATAGCTTAAAAGCAATTCTGGTTGTGACAGTCACACTAAATAGCCCTAATTTTTCTCTAAACTGTCATTCTTAGGACCACTGATATTTTCCATTCTGAAATAATGCCAACTGGAACACAGTGCTATTCAATTTCTCTTTAAAAGTAAAAATTTCCAAAAAAGGAGATTTCAATAAAACACAATCTAAGAAGGGGAAACCATGATGAAGAGTTTTCCACAGTAATGCTGCTAAATTTAAACCACGTTGCCAGCAAAATATTTACCCATCAGGCATCATCACCAACCCCACCACAACCATCTACCATTTACAAGTTAAATAAGTAAAATCATTGCCCACCCCAATCACTGAAAAGTAAATAAACAAGCATATATCGACCTAAATTCTCAGTCATATAATGCCACGCTCTTTGCTGAACACCCTTCGGTGTTTCTCCTTGGAAAAAAAAAAACAAATTTTCCAACCAGGACTCTAAGAGCTCCAGACCTCCCTGCTCACCTGACTAACTCCTCTTTAATCTTCAGCTCGAAGCTCACACGACACTTTCTGAGAGATCCTTCCCCATCCACCCAGACTAAACTCTGTGCCTCCTCTTATCACAGCCCCCTTTTCTTTTTCTGCACCATGCTCTTCAAAATGTGCAGTTAAATATGTATCCACATGATTACTTATTGTTTGCCTACTCACAAGACAAATAGCCCCACCCAGACCTGTTTTGGTCCCTATAGTACATCCAATACCTAGCATAATGCCTGGCTACAGAAAAGGGCTAGATAAATATCCATTGAACACAAACAGAAATAAATTGCTAAGTGCCCTATATCTATGTAATAGACCTGCTAAAAGTAAAACAGGGCTTCAGGTTTTGTTTTGTCTTTTTAAAACACATTACATAACAGGAGAAATATCTTTGAGTATTACTATTTCAAGAGCAAGTTCAGTTCAGTTGCTCAGTCGTGTCCGACTCTTTGCGACCCCATGAACCGCAGCACACCAGGCCTCCCTGTCCATCACCAACTACCGGAGTCCACCCAAACCCATGTCCATTGAGTCGGTGATGCCATCCAACCATCTCATCCTCTGTCATCCCCTTCTCCTCCTGCCCTCAATCCTTCTTGGCATCAGGGTCTTTTCAAATGAGTTAGCTCTTCCCATCAGGTGGACAAAGTAATGGAGTTTCAGCTTCAACATCAGTCTTCCCAATAAACACCCAGGACTGATATCCTTTAAGATGGGCTGGTTGGATCTCCTTGCAGTCCAAGGGACTCTCAAGAGTCTTCTCCAACACCACAGTTCAAAAGCATCAACTCTTCAGTGCTCAGCTTTCTTTATAGTTCAACTCTCACATCCATACATGACCACTGGAAAAACCATAGCCTTGACTAGACAGACCTTTGCTGACAAAGTAATGAGCAAATATGTACACAAATGAAGATTATGCAAGTAGTGATTACACAAATAGCAATTACACAACAGTGGCACACACTTGCCAAGCTCAGCTGACTTAGCTTGGATACTGGGAGGCACAGAAGACTAAGAGGGCCCATTTTCCAGCTGCCACCACCATCAGCAAAGGGGTCTCCCTGGCCTCTCCCCAGACTGTTCAGCAGAAGGAATGATGGTGGCAGAGGGAAGAAACAACATGGTCAGAGTCCAAGCCCTCACGTTCTAACAACAGTAGCCACCCCCACCCTAACAGACCTCACTTGTACAATTCTACTCAAAGAATTGTACTCAATTGTACTCAATTCTACCCCTTCGTTACCAACACTGCAGCATCAGAAATTTCACAGCAAAGCACGTGTTGGTTCAGGTCAAACAGCTTTTACCAAGACAACCACATACCCAGGCCTTCTGACGGGAAACAGGGTGAGTGGGAAGGAAGACTAGAAACACACTAACAATCATGGCAAGTAAGGACAGGCTAAAGGACTGTAAGCCCTGATGAAATCAGATAAGCCAAGTATATGCATACACAAGTAGAATGAACTCAAGGTTATGCTAACAGTAGAGGTTAAATGACGGCGGGCCATCAAGTCCATCATATTAGTAGGGAAAGCAGAACAGAAGTACAGTCTCTGAAACTGAAAAGTTACAGTTTTTCCATTTATACCATGGATGTGTTTAAAAAAAAAAAAAAGGTTACACCATGGATGCTCCTGTATGGCTGAATGGGGCCTGGAGAGTCAGGGAGACTGAGCTTGGGCCTGGGTCATGGAAACATGAGGAAGAGTAGGCTATATATAGGTCCGTGAGGTCCAAAGGAGGAGGGGAAGAGGGAACTTAGATGAAAAACGTAGGGTTACGAAAGAAGAGACTGAAATGGGAACAAAATGAAATCATTTCTAGTGTCATGAACTAAAACAGCTGGAAAAAGAGCACTCTGGGGAAAAACCAGGACTCAGTTAAGGTAAGGTAGAGCAGCAGCATTTGAGGAAAAGGTTTAACACATAAGAGACTTTGTCTAGGGCCAACAGAGCAGGTGGCCACAGGAGCAGCTGGGCAATGCTGACTCGGGGTGGGAGTTCAAAAGGGAACAGAAAAACAGAGGGATTTGTGGCTAAGGTACCAGTTCAGGTAGGATGAAGTACTATGCATGAGGCCCTGGACATACAGGTCCCAAGATGAATAAGGGAAAGGCAGTATGGGCAGGTGATCAGTTCACAATAAATATGTCGGGTCCACTCATCTCCCTCGGTCATCCTTGACTGACCCTGTGCACACCTACTGAATTCTCTTTCCTGAAAATTAAAAAAGTGGAGCCACTTTATAACACCCTGGAAAGAATATCTACGTTAACTCCTTTGGACACTCTGGTTCACTTCTCTCACAAAACGTGGTTACTCAAAATTTCCCCCAATTCAGAGAGCTATCTGTAGCCTAACCTTTAATAATGTCTCCACATTTGCTTTTTTTTGGTGTGATATAGCCAGAATCATTTCTGTTGCTTGTAACCAAAGTACCTTCCCTGAATCCACATGGTTCTTGACCATCATGAACTCACTTTATAAATGAGAAACTGAGGCCATGAGAATGCATTTTTTTCCAGGTTGTAACACCAAAACATAACTTCCCCTACTATTAGTACTCTCAATGATATGTTTAAACAGATTTAGACAATTTCCAAAAGATTATAGTCTAAATATCATCAGATAAAATCTACATACAAAGGTAAAATAGAAAAAGCTAAAACTGGAGCAGATGGAGGTGGATAATGAGTAAGGAAGACCCATGATATTCTAAGAGTAGCTATTGGAAGGTATATTTCATATCCTACCGTAACATGAAGCCTAAGTAACCAGATTTCTATAATCTTTTTAAATATCTGAAGCCATCGTATCAATATAAAATCTAAGATCAAAAAAAGGAGACATAAAAAAGTGCAGAACCAAAAGAAGAAAAAATACATATCGACACATAGACAAAATTATAAAGACCATATCTATAATAACAGAGTATTTTTGGCACTCATCACATGCTTAAAAACATTTGTCTTGGTATTCTTCCCCTCCAAATATTTTTGGACTATAAAATATTTCTCATAATTCTTTGACCTTCCAAGATTCTGTTGCCATTTCACTTCCTCCTTTTCTCAGAATCAGTAAGGCTGATTTCCTCTGTTTACCCTAGCGAGTGTCCGTCCCTCCCTAAAACTTGCACCTTACTTCCCTTTCTTTAGCCAAAAATATGGCCACTATGTATTATTCTTTCCTGTTTCCTTGGTATTTGATATATTATGATCTAACCATTCCCTCCCTAATACAAGAGATTCTTAATTGGCACAATCTTGCAAACTTCTTCCATAGTACTGCTTCAGAAACAACAAGAATTTTTAAATAAAAAAGTTAACAGAGGTGACCTGTTTCTGAGTATAAACACCACAGATGCTTCCATGAAGCTGTTCATTTCTCTTTGAACTGCTGGTTTTCAGCAAAAAAAAAAAAAAAAGAAAGAAAGAAATTGAACGAAAATCTCTTATTTATTCCAGATGGTTCAAACCCATTATGATAAATATATACAGCCAGTGCCCCATATGAAATAACTTCATGTAGATATAATTATTTTGTAAAAAAGCAAACTATACACATTAAGTAACATGTTTAATTAAAAGAAAAACTGTCATAAAATCTAACAGGTAGACTATATAAACCAGAATGGAAATTCAGGTTTCCTCTACACTTACGGGTCAGAAAACAAGCGAAATATTAGTAAAAAATGAACATTTTATATACTTCACACTTACAAGAAGTATGCATCATAGACTTCTTACTGCACTTAGCTCTGTTTACTTCCAATCTTTCTAATAATACACAAATTCAATTCCACGTACATGCAAATTGTGTGAAAATACCCACTACTCAAGTAACAGAGGAAAACAGCAAATCTTAATGAGGTTTATACCAAATTTAATACAGAACACTCTTCAGGAAAAAGAACATCGTTTCTCTCTCAACCACAACTATCCTCAATTGATCTGCGCTGACAGCACTACATCCTAAAGCAGTGGTTCATTATGGGGCGGGGGTAGGGGACAGAGGGGAGGGTGTGCCCACCCTCCTGGCCCCCAGAGGACACGTGGCAAGTTTGGGAGACAGTCTTGGTTGTCCCAAAGTGGCTGGGGGCATGGGGGTTGATGTGCTATTGGCCTCTAGTGGGTAGAGGTCAGGGATGCTGTGAAACACACAATGGGCTATGTACACAACAGCCTTTCACAAGCAAGATTATCCAGCTCAAATGGCTGGGACACTGTCCCACAGAGACATGAGGCTGAAAGGAAAGAGCATCTGACAAGGACACCCATGATGCACTGTCGGCCCTCCCCATTCCAAGGAGTCCCCTACCTTGGACGCCTGTGGAGTGGATATCACATGGACTGTGCTGGGTTTGACTCCGTTAGCCTTTGGCCGCTTGTAGAGAGCAAATCTGCTTTTCCTCCGGCCTCTGTCTCCATTAGGTAAAGCACCATTGTACCTATAAACAGAGATGAAAGAGTTCATTTATTTGTAGATGTTTAAAGGCATTCAGAATAAAAGTCCGATGGAATTAAGGGAAAAGACAGGAATCCTCATAAAGACTTGTCCAGTAACCACCCCACAAAAGGGATACAAAACAGACTTAGAGACTTCGGCTGTAATGAAATTCAAATCACTTCCAGAAACTTAATTTAAGAGTGATATACAAAGTAATTATAGGTTCCTTATTCTATAAAGTCAGACTCTTCAAATCTTTTCAGAAGAGACCAAGTATAAGTAAGCAAATGAGAATTCTGCAGAGGCTGTATTAGCACCGGCTCAATTCAGCAAACGTCATCCTAATGGACCCTGGAGAAACACTTGAGAAATATTTTTAAATGAATTGGTTAGAAAAGAGCATACTAATTAAACCTCATCTCTCACTCTCAAATCATCTTCATGTCTGTAGGATCTTTATTTGTAAGAAGATCAAATTTAGTTCCTTGCATTCTTAAAAGTTCTGAATTCTCTACCTCCATTCCAACTGCTATTTGAACTCTATACTGTCAGGTTAGTGAAAGCTAGCCTTCAAAAATTAAACAAAGTATGCTTCTATAAGTTTGCCCATTAAAAAGCCCAAACGTATAAAAGAGGAGTTTTAGTCCACAAACTTATCAAATATCTTAAAAAGTCACCTGGGAAATATTACTTGTCCTTAAGCAGATTTCCCTAAATTAATACCTTAAGCCAGTGGTCCCAACCTTTTTGGCACCAGGGATAGATTTTGTAGAAAACAATTTCTCCACAGACAAGGGGGGTAGGTTGGGGGGATGGTTTGGGGATGATTGTCATAAGGAGCATACCACCTAGATCCCTGGCATGAGCAGCTCAGAGTAGGGTTCACTCTCTTAAGAGAATATAAGAAAGAAAGTGAAGTTGCTTAGTCGTGTCCAACTCTTCGGGACCCCACGGACTGTAACCTACCAGGTTCCTCCATCCATGGGATTTTCCAGGCAAGAATACTGGAGTGGGTTGCCATTTCCTTCTCCAGGAGATCTTCCCGACGCAGGGATTGAACCTGGGTCTCCCACATTGTAGGCAGACGCTTTACCGTCTGAGCCACCAAGGAAGAATCTAATGCCATCTCAAATCTGACAGGAGGTGGAGCTCAGGCTGTAATGTGAGCAATGGGGAGCAGCTGTAAATACATATGAAGCTTCGCCTGCTCACCTCCTGCTGTGCAGTCCCTCGGTTTTTTCTTGGGGGGGGGGTGTGTGTTGGGGACCCCTGCCTTAAAGCCAATACCAGTGTTTAAAAAGAATGCAGGCTTGCATTCGTGTTTCCATTTTCACCTGTATTTTCTAATCTAGATGACAGGTCCCTGTACATTCTGACTTCTGTCTCATGCCATGTTTATTCTCCAGCTCCCTCTTGGCAGAAGTTCTTTTGAAGAGAACCAAAAGAGGAATTGTTTCAAATTTGTGTGGATAAACATGACAACTCTGAGGCTCCCTCCAAGCACCAAAGTCAGGGGTAACTTGGGTGGCGGCTCCACCCTCTCCTGGAAGTCCTGCCGTTGCCACTGGCCCATCTCACCCAGAGAGCAGGGCGGGCAGTTTGGCAAAGGGGACACAAGCCCAAGGGGAACAGCACAAGTCGGAACAAGGGCTTGTGGTGGTGGTTTACTATTCTGTAGCTGCAGCATGATAATGGATTTAAATTGCCAGAAGTTATTCCTGCTGTGTTTTTAATCTGTTTCCATCTCCATCATAAAGGTACGTCAGCTACAGAAAATGTCTCCAGAGTACAGAAATCATTTGTTTCAAGTCTTACTCCTCTCCTTTTTTGGAGCTAAGATCAGAATAATGGACATGATTTTCTTAAATGTACTTGTGATCACCACTCTAAAGAACATACCCCTGGTTAAACAACCATTATAAATCAACTGTGTCTTAATATATCTGCACATCTCTTACACCAGGATGAGCACCCTGTATTAAGAGAAACATATGTGAATTAAAGGCAGGGCCTAAACCATTTAAAGGGACATTTTCATCACTGTAGCCTAGAACGACTGGTACAAGATCTGGCAAGCTGTCCTGTGCCCCTCACATTTGCCCAGCTCTCCGCTGCACCTTTCTCTCAACTACACACTGTTGTCAATGACACTAGTCAAAGAATGAGGCAGATGCTTTTTAAGAGATCTGTTCACGACATCCCTTCTAGTGAGTCCAGCCCTGAACACCCTAAGGTAAGCCCAGCACTACATTGGAATGAAATGGCCAGGCCAGCACCCTCCCCACTGAGTGACTGGTGGCAGACATTTGGTCCAAATTGGCCAATGACAGTCTCATCTCAGAAAACACACACCTGAGACCCAGAGACAACCCGCCAGTCTGTGTGGATGGCCAGAGCTGCAGGCTGCAGGCATGGGAGCTGTGGGGATGTCAGAGTCTGTTCTGTGATGAAGCAGCAGAGAAGTGAGGAGCAAAGCAGATGAACAGGGACAGCAATGAAAAGAGATGGAAAGAGGATCCTTCAGGGCGTCTCTTGGCCCAGATGTACTCTGACCCCTGTTCATGAAATCCTTTCTGGTTTTAGCTAACTCAGATTGGTTTCTTCTACTTGCAGCCCCAAAGCCATGTCTAATATAGAGATGAAAACACAAAAACCAGGAATGTCAACTTAACATATACAGAAACATTTTAATTTCAATCGGCGGAGCAGAGATGCACAGATACTGCAAGAAATACCTTTTATATCTTCAAATAAATAAGTAAACCCTTCTTAGTCACAGGCCAAAGAACCAGGACCAGGAGAAAGTTGTATCGCCAAAGATAGGAGAAGAGAGACTTTCAAAGGCGTGTTATCAGTTAAGAGGCCAGTGTGATTTGGAAAAGAATGGGTCTTTGATGACCTCACCCATCTTCAGAGCAAACCAGCCAAGTAAAAATAAGCAAGCCTCTCCAACACTGAGCCTCACTCAACACCTCCTCTCCTTTCCAATCTTCTCCTCACAGCTAAGAACTTTGAAACAGGACTCCACCTGCACCACCCCAATTCCAACCTTGAGCACACATCATCTACCTCCAAATCTAAAAGTACAGTTGATGATGTCATCTACCCATCATCCAACCTCCCGCCTTACGTCTCTCAATGACTCTCCTATCAAGGTACACAATATGGTCAATTAAAAACAGCCACAAGTTCCCATTACTTCTCCCAGGGAGCATGAGTCTAACTCCATCTCCCCACACCTGGGCTGGCCTTAATGGCTTATTTGCCAAAAGGATGGGAAGGAAGCGACATGGTGAGACCTGCAAAGCCAAGTCTTATAAAAGCCTTAGAACTTCTGTCTCTTGGGAGCTCAGAGCTGCCTTGTAAGGAAGCTGGGACCCCCCCCCCCCGCCATGCCAAGGAGGCTACATGGAGGTGGCTCCAGTCAGCAGTCCCAGCTGAGCCCAGCCTTTCAACCACCTGCTAGGTTACCACACGTGTGACTGAAGCTGCCAAGACCTTCCAGACCAGACCAGCCCATCCATCAGCTGACTACACCAGGTGACCTAGGTTGATCCCACACGGGACAGAAGAATTGCCTGGTTGAGCACTGCCCAGATGCCTGGTTCACAGAAATGGTGCAGGAAGGGGGACCCCTTCCAGGGTCCGGGAGTGGACTCTTGTCTAACACTCGGAAATGAATTGTCCGAGGAGACACATATGCTGACAAAGTAAGAAATTTTTACGGGGAAGGGGCACCCAGGAGGAGAACCGCAGGGTAAGGGAAGCTTCCCTCTCCAGAATAGAACTGCTCTGCCACATGGCTTGCAGTCTCGGGTTTTATGGTAATGAGATTAGTTTCCCAGTTGTCTCTGACCATTCATTCCGACTCAGAGTCCTTCCTGGTGGTGCATGCATTGCTTAGCCAAGACGGATGCTAGCGAGAAGGATTCTGGGAGGCGGTCGGACACATGATGTCTCCTTTTGACCTTTCCAGAATTCTTCTGGTTGGCGGTAGCTTATTAGGTCTGTGTTCCTTACCAGGACCTCTTGTCATAAAACAACTCACGCAAATGGTTACTATGGTGCCTGGCCAGGGTGTGTGGTTTCAGTCAGCGTGCTTCGCCTAAGAGAATCATGTGGTAGGTATGATGGTGGATGTGTTCATCCCCTGGGTCTGGCATAGATGACGACGTGTAACAGACCCCTGGGACAAGCTCCACCCTTCAGCATGGTCTCCCTCTCCTGGTTTCACAACCTCCCGTTTGACCTCTGATCTAATGCAAGGCCAGCACTGTCACCACATCTTCCCCATGCCCTTCTCACCTCCCTGCCTGGTCCCTTCCCGCCCACCCCCCCGACCCCTGGAATGTGAGTCCATCCCAGCACCTGCCGTAGGGCCTGGGCACGCAGCAGGCACCGACGCCTGCCCAGCCAACTACACGACAGATGGTCTTTTGTACAGGAGAGTAGAACCCAGACAGACAGATGAGACCCTGCTCATAAAGGCCAAAAGTTACTGTTCTATGAAAGAAAGTTAGAATGCTCTCTGGCCTGGCAAGGTTTTCAGCCAGCGACTTTGTAAACACAAGATTTCCAGGGGCTGCGGGCACATCTGTTTCGGCTGCTAAACAGGGCTATTCTTATTCAAAGCCACAAGTTGCCTTTCAAGCTTCACATTAAAAAAAAAAAGAAAAAAAATCTGGAGACAAAAAAAATTCCACTTATTGAATAAACATGTCATGAAAATGTAGCTCATCATATGTGCAGGGCAAATAACTGGTAAAGGTATTTAGAAACTGCAGAGGTCAATGAAAAACACTTGTAAGAAACCTCGCAAAGTAATATATGGTTTTTTTGGTCTAAAATCCAGAGTTCACACATTAATTCTTTTTAATGGCACTTGGTGTGCCCTTACTATGTGCCAAGAAACCTTGTGAGGGACGCTCCTAGAGGGCAGAGAAGAGGCTCGAATGACTGGAACACACATAAATCGTATGGCTGGAAACGGGCAGTACATGT